AAAGGCTATAAAAAAAACCCAAAAAACAAAATGAGCAACCAGTGCTTGTTCCTAATCTCTATAGAAATTGTATTTCAAGCATTAAATGCACCAACATTTCTTAATAAAGCTAAGAAAATAATTCTGCATGCGCATTTTTTTGGAATGCTCAATTTAGAAATATTCGTTGAGTAAGATGTGGCTTGTTACTTTTAAATTATTAATTCCAAATAAAGTTAGGGAATTACATTTAGAAATACGACAGAATGTATACCCAATCTAAATGTATGTTTCACGTTTCATGGCTATTGATAACAACTGTTCTTTTTGTAAAGCTGAAATAGATTTTTTTTTTTTTTTTTTGTGGCTGCCCCATTAGTGCCGCATTTTGGACCTGGAGAACCATATACTTTGCAAAACAAATTCAAAAATTCCATTGGATGGGGGGGGGGAATCTTATTCAGTTTTAATCTCAAGAAAGTAAAGTTGTGAAATATTGTTCATTTGTTCAGAAAGTTTAACATCCATAAATGTAAATTTCTGAATTCCACTGCAATATCTAAATTATTTTTATTGAGGTAGAGAATTATTTAAGGTCTCTTGATTTAATCACAAATAAAAAAAGGAAGATCAATAATTGCTAGATATTCAGAAATGCTTAAAGAGTAACTAACAGATATCCCTGTTTTGAAATGTGAATTATTATCATTTCCATCCATCTAACCATTTCCTCACCTATTTATCCTCAAGAAGGTCGTGGGCGTGCTGGAGCTCACTCTTGTTTTTTGATGAAGAGGCACTCAGTTCAAATCCTGACATTGGTAGATTCCGGTCCAACTGATTTTAATGTCATTCTACTATATTTAATTTTATACATACATGCATTCAATTTTATACATTGATTATTTCAACATTTACATGCAATTTCTCCAGAACTTGCACAGAGTCTCATTATTATTTTTCTTCCCCCTTTTTTGACATGCACGTACCTCCACATAATACATAGAATTTATTATCCATCCATCCATTTTCAACACGGTTTATCGTGAAGAGGGTCGCGCGGAGTTGCTGGAGCCGATCCCAGCTGACTTCGGGAGGATGGCAGACTACACTCTGAACTGGTCGCCAGCCAGTTGCAGAGCACAGGTAGAGACAAACGACCATTCACACCCACATCCACACCGTTACTGAGTGGGAACCGATCCCACGCTGCCCGCATACAAGTCAGGGAAGTGTACCACTACACCATCAGTGACTTCATAGGATTTACACTGCTACAATTTCAACATAATTAAAAAATGTACACCTTCTGGACTACTATTTTTCTCGTTCCACATACCTACAGTTTTTCCACAATTTAATATTTTACGATAACATTTCAACATTCATTTCATGGTGGCCTGGTAGTCCAGTGGTTAGCTCGTCGACCTAACAGTGCAGAGGTACCGGGTTCGATTCCAGCTCCGGCCATCCACGACCCCCACCAGCCCCTGGCCTCCGCCCTCCTCCAGCTCCCCCTCCACGCGCCACACCCGCACCGGCCCCTTTCCCTCCTCCCCTCAACTCTTCACTCTTTCACACCTTCTCACATATCTGGCATAGTTTGCTTTTGTCACCCACCTTTCACACCCGCCGCACTAGGGGTGTTCACATGGCACACATTTGCTCCCGTGCTGCACTGATGTATTTTGTTGCGATATATTTTACAGCAGAGCAAATCTTGTGGAGCGGTCACACGTACAAAGCCGCTGAGCGTGTTAACCCCGGCGTAGCACCGGTGCAGCGCCACTTGCGGTCCCACGGCAGTTTCTGCAGCGGTGCAAAACGATAGAAAACAAAGAGCTTTCGTGTTGGGTTTTTTTAAAACATACACAACTCAAGCAACTGCTGTACAGGCACGTCCTTCTCCTTCTCGGTCTCCGTGCCTTCTGCTCGAGAGGCACTGAATGACCGCCCCCAAAAACATGAATCAACGATGACTTCAATGACACTCAGAAAAGCAAATATATAATGCTCCAAACAGAAAATCAAGAGAGGAAATCACAAAATACATTCTATGAGGGGCGGGGGTTGTGAACACACAACAAAGGAACAAACTACACAAACAACTCTGAGACAGTGCAGTCTCCTACAAAAGGAAAGATGATGTTTGGGGACTATCCCCTCCCCCGTTCTAGTTGTGTCACGTTGCGAGCAAAGTGGAAGGGAACCCGCTTCACTCGCAACCAAGGTGATCCTCCTCCCCTCAACTCTTCACTCTTTCACACCCTCTCACATATCTGGCATAGTTTGCTTTTGTCACCCACCTTTCACACCCGCCGCACCAGGGGTGTTCACATGGCACACATTTGCTCCCGTGCTGCACTGATGTATTTTGTTGCGATATATTTTACAGCAGAGCAAATCTTGTGGAGCGGTCACACGTACAAAGCCGCTGAGCGTGTTAACCCCGGCGTAGCACCGGTGCAGCGCCACTTGCGGTCCCACGGCAGTTTCTGCAGCGGTGCAAAACGATAGAAAACAAAGAGCTTTCGTGTTGGGTTTTTTTAAAACATACACAACTCAAGCAACTGCTGTACAGGCACGTCCTTCTCCTTCTCGGTCTCCGTGCCTTCTGCTCGAGAGGCACTGAATGACCGCCCCCAAAAACATGAATCAACGATGACTTCAATGACACTCAGAAAAGCAAATATATAATGCTCCAAACAGAAAATCAAGAGAGGAAATCACAAAATACATTCTATGAGGGGCGGGGGTTGTGAACACACAACAAAGGAACAAACTACACAAACAACTCTGAGACAGTGCAGTCTCCTACAAAAGGAAAGATGATGTTTGGGGACTATCCCCTCCCCCGTTCTAGTTGAGATGGTATAACCCAAAAGGCAAGGTGCCACTTGCTACTGTTATTGCCAGCCATCATGTCTTGTGTCGTTATTAAACAAACACATGATGCAAGTACAACAGAGCAAGAAAGCAACGCATTCTCGCCGTATGTAATCAACTCACGCAAGTACAACAGAGCAAGAAAGCAACGCAATCTCGCCGTATGTCATCAACTCTTCTAATGCATAGCGAGGCTACTCCGCCCCCCCGGCAAACGAGAATTTGCTCCGGAGCAAATTGTAGCGAGCGTTCACACATACCATTTTATATCGGTGCTGCCCCGCAAATGAGCATTTGCTCCAGAGCAAATTTTTAAACCACCTCCCTGAGGTGGGTTAAATTTGCTCTGGAGTAAACTGTTTTCAGGGGCTAGACCGGTGTAACTTTGCACATGTGACCGCTCGACTGGCGTAGCAACGGCGCAGCACCGGACCAAATGTTGCGAAGGTCAGCAGGGAGTGTGTTCCAGAGCTGGGGAGCAGAGCGACTGAAGGCTCTGCTCCCCATGGTGACGAGGCAGGTGCGGGGGACAGTGAGGAGGAGAGAGGAGGAAGAGGAAGAACGAAGAGAGCGGACAGGTGTAGCAATGTGGATGAGGTCAGATAGGTATGGAGGGGCAAGGTTGTGGATAGCTTTGAAAGTAAGGAGCAGGATTTTATATTGAATGCAGTGTATAAAATGCGGTGTATAATGGGGAGCCAGTGGAGATGTTGGAGGACAGGTGTAATATGGTTTATGGATGGTGTGAGTGTGTTCATGCGAGCGGCTGAATTTTGGACCAGTTGAAGCTTATGGAGGGTTTTTTTGAGTGAGACCGAGCAGGAGGGAGTTACAGTAATCAAGTCGGGAGGTGACGAGGGTGTGAACGAGTACAGCAGTGGAGTGAGGGGTGAGAGAAGAGCGGAGCCGGTGGATATTTCTAAGATGAAAATATGCAGAACAAGTGATGTGGTTGAAATGTGAGTTGAAAGAGAGGGTGCTATCGAGGATGACACCCAGACTCTTGACCTGAGGGGAGGGGGAGATGGAGGAGCTGTCAAAGGGAATGGAGAAATTGTTTATTTTTTTTCGGGTGGACTTGGTGCCAATGAGGAGGAGTTCAGTTTTATTCCTGTTCAGTTTGAGGAAGTTTGAGGTGAACCATGATTTAATTCCTGCAGGCAGTTGGTTTGGGAGGATGGTAGAAGTGTGGTGTTTGGTTTGGTCGAGATGTAGAGCTGGGTGTCATCCGCGTAGCAGTGAAAGTGAATGTGATATTTCCTGATTGAAACATCAAGGGGCCAAGGACAGAACCCTGAGGAACACCCGAAGTGAGGGGAAAGGTGTGAGATCTAAAACATTTGAGCTGGATAAACTGGGTGCGGTCAGAAAGATAGGACCAGGAGAGGGGGGTGCTTGTGATACCAATGGAGGAGAGTCTGTCGAGGAGGATGGATTGAGAGATGGTGTCAAAGGCTGCACTGAGGTCAAGCAGGAGGAGGATGGCGAGTGAACCGGAGTCAGCAGAGAGAAGACGGTCATTGGATATTTTGAGGAGGGCAGTTTCAGTACTACGGAGGGAACGGAAGCCAGATTGAAATTGTTCGTAGAGGTTATTGGAGGAAAGAGGGGTGTGAAGTTGAGCAGCCACTGTTTTTTCTATAAGTTTGGAAATGAAGGGGAGGTTTGATATGGGACCGAAGTTGTTCAGATCGGAGGGATCAGAGCCAGGTTTCTTAAGTATGGGAGTGACAGCAGCAGTTTTGAGATGGGAGGTTACATTACCGGTAGAGAGGCAAGTTTGAATAATGTTGGTGATGAGAGTGTCACGATTGCGAGGTGGTGGTGGACCCTAAAAAGCAGGCAGGGATGAGGAGCAGGGTGTACTTGAAAGATTGTATTAAAACACAGAAAACTAAATCCTAAACAAACAAACTCCTAACAACAAAACGAATCCAAAAGTATCAAACAAAAAATCATGACTGAAGATAAAACAACAGTGACCTAAACATGACTGAAACAAACATGACAGCAGCCAACAGCCATAATGACCCGACAGTGAGTATTCGGGCGGGAGTCCTTTTATACCACGAATTGCATAACGACCAACAGGTATGCAGCTGCAGGGGGAGCCCTACAGTGCCACCTGTTGGTCCCAAACTGAAACATGACAGTACCCCTCCCTCAAGGGACGGATCCCAGACGTCCCAAAGTCGTCCAAAGGCTTGCCTCAAGGAACGGGAACTAAAAGCGACGGCAACCCTTGTCTTGCCGGAGAATAGGAACAAAAGCGACAACGACCTTCGCCTCGCCAGGGAACAGGAACAAGAAGCGACGGCAACCCTTTGGCTGGGCTTGGCCTGACGTGGACGGAGCTCGACGTAGTGGGGGACATGGGACAGCCGGACGTGAACAGGGGCTAGGCCTGACATGGGCGTGGACGTGGCACGGCTCGTCGTGGATGTGAATGTGACTCAGCTCGAACATACACGTGACGAGGCTCGGCTCAATGTGGACGCGGACGGGGCTCGGCCTACCGTAGACGTGGCTTGACGAGAAACGGGAACTAAAAGCGACAGCAACCAATGCTGCCTTAAGGAGGAACATGGGACAGCCGCAAGACCAGCGCTGCCTGAAGAGGGAACATGGGACAGCCGCAAGACCAGTGCTGCCTGAAGGGGAAACGGGTGTCCGCCGCAGACGTGCTCTGCCAGGCACATGGTGGAATAGGGACCAGTCCTTTGTACCTGTGGGGTCCAGGTGGTCGGGTCATTCTGTCACGATTGCGAGGTGGTGGTGGACCCCAAAAAGCAGGCAGGAGGGAGGAGCAGGGTGAACATGACAGATTGTATTGAAACACAGAGAAAACTAAATCCAAAAACAAACTAAATCCAAAGTAGCAAACAAAACTATGACTGAAGCAAAAACTAACCATGGCCGAAAACAAACATGACTGAAACAAACCTGACAGAAGCAAACAACAAGCAAACAAACAGCCACAAACAATGACCCGGCACTGAGTGGTTGTGCTGGGAGTCCTTTTAAACCAGTACATAACGACATAACGACCAACAGGTGTGCAGCTGCAGGGTAAGCCCTACAGTGCCACCTGCTGGTGCCAAACCAAATCATGACAGTACCCCTCCGTCAAGGGACGCATCCCAGAAGTCCCAAAGTCGTCCAAAGGCTTGCCTCGCCGGGGAACGGGAACTAAAAGCGACAGCAACCCTTGCCTCGCTGGAGAACAGGAACAAAAGCGACGGCGACCTTCGCCCCGCCAGAGAACAGGAACTAAAAGCGACGGCAACCCTTGCCTTGCCCGAGAACAGGAACAAAAGCGACGGCGACCTTTGCCTCGCCGGAGAACAGGAACAAGAAGCGACGGCAACCCTTTGGCTGGGCGTGGCCTGACGTAGACGGAGCTCGACGTAGCGGGGGACATGGGACAGCC